GTAAATACATTAGACTGAGCTCACAGGAGACAGGAAATGATTTTTGCCTGTCTTTCACGGGGCCATCAAGTGTTGAGATTAGGAACTGCATAGTAATACTTATATAAAGTATTTAAATATACATGAACATAACATCATATTTTATCATGATATGAACTCGAAACTGTTCAAATCACGGGCACACATACACATTTAAAAAAGGGGGAAATACAGATAATAGGTGACATACATTCGAATAAAAATGATGCATAAACAGTTCATTTGTATTGCATTTTTATTCAAGGTTTAATGTCACAACTACAGAATATGAACCGCTCAATTCATCCAGAGTTAGATTTTTAACTTGGTGCCATATTGTTGTAGTTCTTGGTTGAAGTGTCCGGTTTTATTTTGGAGTATTTTCTTATGGATGGATTTTTTGTTTATCACAAATACAAAAATGGTTTAATCTCCTAATTCACAGTAAATACAAGGATAATCCAATCTCTTCTAAGGTATTTGTTTCATTGTATATCATTTATGTTTATATATATATATATATACATTTAAATCTTTGCATAATAACGATTCCAGCAACATCCAGCTTTTCCTACGTCGATAGAATGAAACCATGGACGTGTTGCCTTTAAGTGCTCACAGTAAAGTAGATGTTTACAACACGATCACTTCAGAAAATGACCCTACTTACCACATACGATACTTTAAAATACAGCTTTTAATCGCAATAAAGCCGTAATGAGCTGTGCATCTCAACATATTGACTGGATGTGGCCTGGTTGATATAATCGATACTAATGTAACAATGAAGTGCAAATATCAGCATGTTTGGACATATATGTTTCGAAGAATTAGTAAACTAACATATATTCCAGATTCAGCAGCACTTATTGTTCACTCGGTTTCTGAAATGTTTACACAATACCACAGTTAATTGAAAAATCGCGAATCTTGTTGTCTTTATCTTATTGTCTTTGTCTTGCAATTGAAATTTACGATATTTTGTTGGACATTGAAGGCATCATACTTAATGCACCAAACAGTGTTACTAAATCTTACATTGGGGAAAGACACGTCTGTAAATCAGCGTATGATTTAGTTTGGGCTTAATAAACTACCCAGCAATAACACTTGTGTTGCCTACATTTAAATCGTTAAGGGCTAAAAGTTGTAAAATGCGTTAAAAACTGAATCCAGAGTTTTTTTTCTCTCTCCATTCGTTGAACTGAGCAGAGACGGAGATCGGAGGCGGGGCTTATGGGAAAACTCCAATGCGCATGCCCAGTACGCATGATCCGGGTACTTTATCCTACAGTTGCTCCATTTTGGGCTTCGAGAAAGCATTCGCCATTTGTTCTATGAATTGATGTATTGTAGAATCACGACCACGGTACCTTTTCACCGTTAGTTTTTTGTAGGTATTAGTAACAAGTAGAAACGGGATGTGCTTTTGTTGTTTCTCTCAATGTTTCCTTTTCATTGGTGGGTGGGTCTCCAGTGCCTGCTTGCTTCTGATTGGCTAGTGTGCCCCATGTTTGAGCTGTTCAGAAATAAGACACTCCTGCTACTTTTGACGAGGGATACACAAATGTTTGACCATAAGTTCTTCATGAGACTGATACTGTTGCACTCAGTACTAGTTAGAATACTACCAACAAAACAATGAAGCACTTTTACTGTGTACTTTTTGAGTAATCCTCTGTCAAAGTCCCCCTTTGAGTACAAACAAGCTATTTGCCATCCATTCTTCATGAGACTGATACTGTTGGACTGGTTAGACTACTTCCAAAAACACATTGAAGTACTTTTACTGTGTACTTTTTCAGTAATCCTCTGTCTAAGTACAAAAACAAGCTACCTCTGCTATCTTTGATGAGGGATAAACATATATACTGCCATAAGTTCCTCAAAAGACTGATATAGTTGGAATCAGTTGGAATTAGACAACTATCAGTTGTACTATGAAATACTTTTACTGTGTACTTTGTGAGTAATCCTCTGTCTAAGTCCCCTCCTGAATCAGAATCAGAATACCTTTATTAGAGCCAAAGACAGCTTGAGTTCATGAACGCCTGTCTTGCTGCTGTGTGATGAGACTGATGCTGTTGGACTGGTTAGACTACTACCAAAATAATGAAGTACTTTTACTGTGTACTTTGTGAGTAATCCTCTGTCAGTCCCCATACGAGCTAATTCTCCCATCTTTGATGAGGGATAAAACATATTGTTTGCTATCAATTCTTCATGAGACTGACACTGTTGGTTATATAGTGACTACTCCAACGAGTATTATGAAGTACTTTTACTGTGTACTTTGTGAGTAAACCTCTGTACCCTCCTGAGTACAAGAATGCATGTTTTCGTAATATTCTCTTCACGAGACGGATATTGTTGGAGGTTTTAAGAGAATAAGGTAGACACATGATATCAACACAAATCAACAAATATTCTGCTATGTTTGAACCTCAGGGATATTTAAATATGAATTATTCAACATGACTTTGTTGAGATAAGATGAGGTCAAAGTGAAGTATGAAAGTACCAACATATGGTCATCCTGAAATAATGCATTAACAAGATTGGTAATGACCTTATGATGCTTTCCCGTGTTGACTAAACGAGCAAAACATTCCGGTTTTTAACATATTATACAATTCCACCTTTTCATTTTATACACAAATGTCGCTTTCTCACAATGTCCTCAGTATTTATTGCTTTTATTAATGAATAAACATGTATTACATTTTGTAAACATGAAAAAACCCATCAGTTATACACGTTTTTAAACACCTTAATTCCTGAATGACAACTTCGCTGTTTTCTGTTCATAATGCCCTCTTTTGAATTCATGTAATGAACACTGTGCCTGTGGCGACTGTGGCTGCGAGGGAGTGCGGTCGTCTTTCAACCAGAAGGTTGTGGGTTCGATCCCAGCCCATGCAGTCAACATGTCGATGTATCCTTGGGCAAGATACTTAACCCTGAGTTGCTCCCGATGTGTATGAATGCTTGTTCGAAGAGTAGGTACACTGCTCTGTGTGAATGACATGTATGTAAAGCGCTTTGAGGGGTCGTAAAGACTGGATAAAGCGCTATATAAGTACAGTCCATTTACCTTTTCATGATGTATGGAAATAATTGTTTAATAAAGTTGAAAAAACCACCAACTTTTCTCAACTCTTCTTCAGACTGTGTTTAATCAGAAAATGCAATGTTTTTGCTTTACGAACATGTGCGGGTCCTATTCAAGCAACATAAATAAGTCCAATAATGAGAAAAGTTTCTGGGTGTTTTTGTCTCATGGATTGGAGGGACTTTGCTAAAACGTTGAGTTCATTTTTCCATCCATTGATATGAGGTTTAGCTTTCAAATATGAACATTTATGAATAACATCTCTGCTCAACAAAATCAAGTTGTTTAACAGAAAGTCCACGTTGTTATCCTTCTGTCATCCTAGTCTCGGAACGACCAAGTGACTACAGAGGTGCCCCTGAGCAAGGCGCTGTCCCTACACTGCTCCTCGAGCGCCGACCTAATGGCTGCTCACTGCTCCTAACACTAGGATGGGTCAAATGCAGAGATCGTCCGGCAGTGGCTCAGTCAGTAGGGGCTTGGACTGTGAGCTGTAGGGTCGGCGGTTCAAGTCCCCGACCTAAATATTGGGTGTGAACTGCTACTTGGAGAGGTCCCAGTTCACCTTCTGCCCTGCCATGGTGCCCTTGAGCAAGGCACCGGACATCCCCCTTCCCCCCTCGCTCCCATTGCTCCCCGGGCGCTGTACAATAGCTGCCCACTGCTCCTAGTACTAGACTCCTGGCACTAGCATGGGTTAAATGCAGAGAACAAATGTCACTGTGTGCTGTGTGCTCTGCATGTGAGACCATCTATCTCCATAAGTGCTGTGGCTTTAATCGACATCACAGTTATAGGGTGTATTAATTAATAATAATAATACATTTTATTTCAAAGCGCTTTTCCAGGTGCTCAAAGACGCTTTACAGTGGTTTGATAAAACATGATAACATAGAATAATACCTTTACATTGAAGCCAGCTCTGAAACATGAGCCAACATATATTAGAGACTGTATATGTTCTACAGTCTCAATATCTTTCCACATGAATTGTTATCCAAATTAAATCTTACATGTAATAAGTGGTTGGATGGATAAATATCAAATATTAGGGGCTAAAGGAATACATTCAACAACATCACTTAAAATACATTCAAAGTTAGGGAAAAGAAGGAGGATGAACTCAAGATTATAGGCTTAACAAAGTTAAACACAAACTGAATAAACCATAAGTAAGTATATGACAGTGTGAGATGGTTCCACAATGAAAATGATCTATTTCACAGACTCAAATTAAGAACCATATATCTTCAGAATATACACTGCCATACTTCAGAAGGACCGAATCACTCTTGAGTATGAATTAAGACTCAGGTGTCGACACTGTCTGTAAAATAAAAAGTCAAAAGAACATTTAAAAAAGAACATCTCATGTAAGTAAGGAAATCAAATGATCAAAGGCTAATGATTGTAATATCTTTCAGACAAACACGTTTATTTCCAGGTAGGTAAACACATAGGAGGAATTTGACTTGGTGTCGTGGTGCAGGTGCATATATAAAAGTAAAACAAAGATTAAAAAACACAGGTAGAGAACTAGAAAAATATTTAAAATAATAATAAAACATAGTAAAATATAACAGTATTTACATTGCAATGGAATGGACTAAGAAGGAATACAAGTTGGCAGTAATAATACAAAATAATTTTAAAAAACGATATTGTTGTACATTGTGTGCATTAATGTAATGCAGAGTCTGCATTGTGGCTGAGGTAAAGTGGTATTGTGGTAATTATCACTGGTAATGAAGGTAGATGAGTAGTAGCACATTACATGTCACTTGTTTGGCTTTAGGAAGGATATGATAAGTTAAATATATGTTGAATAGTAGAACCGCCCATGCTGTCACTGGATCTGTCACAGGACCAGTGTTGTTGTGAAGACGGAAGTGAGAGGAGGACTTCCCTCTGGACAATTCTTCATTTGGAAACAGTTAAAGTAATACACCACCACCTGCTCAGTCATGACTACTGCGTACAAAAACAGGTAGGACACATCTAAAGGTGTGTTTATATATACAGTCTATGGTTTTAGCATGATGTGCATGACATTCACAAACTGCTGCTACATTATTGTTGCCACTAGACTAGCATCCTAACTGCTAACTGACAATAACTTCACTGTTTAGTTAGCAGCAGCTCAGCTAATCAAACAAAAGACAAGTTCAGAGCAATACCCACCAATGAAAAGGAAACATTGAGAGATTGAAACATCAAAAGAAAACCCCGTTTCTACTTGTTTTATGAATACCTAAAAAAACCGGTTGGTCGTGATTCTGTAATACATCAATTCATAGAACAAATGGCGAATGCTTTCTCGAAGCCCAAAATGGAGCGACTGTAGGATAAAGTACCCGGATCATGCTTACTGGGCATGCGCATTGGAGTGTTCCCTTAAGCCCCGCCTCCGATCTCCGTCTCTGCTCAGTTCAGTGAATGGAGAGAGAAAAAACCTCTGGATTCAATTTTAACGCATTTTACAACTTTTAGCCCCTAACGATTTAAATGTAGGCAACACAAGTGTTAGTGCTGGCTAGTTTATTAAGCCCAAACTCAATCATACGCTGATTTACAGACGTCTCTTTCCCCAATGTAAGATGTAGTACCACTGTTTGGTGCATTAAGTATGATGCCTTCAATGTCCAACAACATGTCGGAAATTTCAGTTGCAAGCGCAAGACAATAAGATAAAGATGAATCCCAAGATTCGCGATGTTTCCATTAACTGTGGTATTGTGTAAACATTCCCGAAACCGAGTGAACAATAAGTGTTGCCGAATATGGAATATATGTTAGTTTACTAATTCTTCGAAACATATATTTCCAAACACGCTGATATTTGCACTTCATTGTTACATTAGTATCGATTATATCAACCAGACCACATCCAGTCAAGATGTCGAGATGCACAGCTCATTACGACTTTATTGCGATTAAAAGCTGTATTTTAAAGTATCGTATGTGATAAATAGGGTCATTTTCTGAAGTGACCGTGCTGTAAACATCTACTGTGAGCACTTAAGGCATTACGTCCATGGGTTCATTCGACTGACGTAGGAAAAGCTAAACATAAATAATATACAATGAAACAAATACCTTAGAAGAGATTGGAGTATCCTTCTATTTTCTATGAATTAGGAGATTAAACCATTTTTGTATTTGTGATAAACACAAAATCCATCCATAAGAAAATATTCCAAAATAAAACCGGACACTTCAACCAAGAACTACAGCAATATGGCACCACGTTAAAAATATATCTCTGGATGAATTGATTAGTTCATATTCTGTAGTTGTGACATTAAACCTTTGAAATTAAATGAATAAAAATGCAACAAACTGTTTATGCATAATTTTTATTCGAATGTATGTCACCTATTATTTGTATTCACCCCCCCCCCTTTTTAAAAAAAGCGTATGTGTGCCCGTGATTTGAACAGTTTCGAGTTCATATCATGATAAAATACGATGTTTTGTTCATGTTGTGTTACTATGCAGTTCCTAATTTCAACACTAGATGGCCCCGTGACAATGTAATTCAATAGACCATGATGGTAAAACAAGCAAAGATAATCTCCTGTCTCCTGTGAGCTCAGTTTAATGTATTTGTATCGTAAATAACTAAATTAATATATCAAGGAAGATAACAAACATGTGTACAATACAAAAGGCAGTAAGCAAGGGCGTTTTTGTAAACGTTGGGCAACGTTAGATTTAAAATGTCGACACAATTTGACGAACGTAATGGCTTTGTTATCAAATCTCGCGAGAGTTTGTCGATAAAACACACTTGTCTCGAACAAAGACCCTTTTCCCCTGATTTATCCGTCTACAAAATGCCATGTTAATGCCACAGTGTATGGAAGACATGTGTCATGTGAAATATTATTCATTTTGTGAGTATTGTTGGAAACAGTCTGCTATAAACACGTATTCACGTTCACTTCTCACAGGGTTTCTTCTTCTTCTTTCTCGAGTTGTATGGCTGTTTGCATCCATCTGAATGGCGCATTACCGCCACCTTTCTGTTGCCAAGTGAGGACCAGCTAATACTCATAGTTCATATTCTAAAGTCCTCACAATAACATTAAATGATAAAAAAACGGCGAAATAACACCTTAAATCCTATGAAAAACCCCCCGTACCTCTTTAACATAACAGTGCGATCTGACATAATTTAAATCCGGCTTTTTCCTCAGAAAGAGGCGGGGCTTACACTGGGCGGAAACCACGTGGTACCGTCACCGGATATTCACTTTTTCATTTCGTCGCGAAATTCTTTATTTTTTTCACGCGAATCATTCCTGAGCCGTCTCCACGACCAGCGCCCGTGCCTCCTCCTGCAGCGCCTGCTCTTCAGATTCAATAGTCTCCTACTACTGAAAAGCTCAAAACGACTTAAATAACATGTCGGACGAAGGCAAACTCTTCATCGGCGGCCTAAGCTTCGACACCAACGAGGAATCTCTGGCTTCGGCCTTCTCCAAGTATGGAACCATCGAGAAGGTGGACGTGATCAGAGACAAAGAGACCGGGAATTCCCGCGGTTTCGGCTTCGTGAAGTACGACAACGCCGAGGATGCCAAAGACGCAATGGACGGCATGAACGGAACCACCCTCGATGGCCGGTCAATCCGCGTCGACGAGGCAGGAAAAGGCGGTCGTCCTAGGGGAGGATTCGGTGGAGGCGGCGGCGCTCGCGGAGGTTCAAGAGGCGGATTCGGTCGGGGGAGAGGTGGTGGATATGGCGGCGGTGAGAGAAGCTATGGCGGCGGAGAAAGAAGCTATGGCGACAGATCAAGCTACGGATCCGAGGGTCGTTCGGGTGGCGGAGGTGGTGGTGGTCAGTACAGATCTGGCGGTGGAGGCAGCGGCGGATACTCAGGAGGTGGTGGAGGCTACAGAGAAAACAGAGGCCAGGGCGGCGGATACGAGCGATCATCTTACCGTGAAGGATACGAATAAAGCATCCTTCCCCTCCCCCCATGTATCAAGATCATCACTTCAGGCCGGCTGTATTTCAAAGATGGCTCCTCCAGATGAAGAAAAAAAATGTCCACGTGTTTTTTGCTGACCTTAGTTTTGTAGTTATGTTGTATTAGCTCGAGCATCTTAGCACAAACGAATATAGCCATGAGGTGTTTTTTTACATTCCTTAACAAAAACCGTTACGATATAAGACGTTACAGAGTATTTTAGCTCAATTTGGAAAATAAAAGGTCATTTGTTAAGCTAAAAAAATGCATCTGTGTAATCTGAATGGTTCTGTGAAAGTCCACATTGTGCGGAATGGCTCGCCACGTGGCTTCCCGCTAGCTATGCTAATAGACTTAGCACGTGATTCCTGATTGTGATTCCCTTTTTTATTTTTGTTCTATTCGTATTGAGACACCCGAGGAAAGTTGTTCGTTATCCTTGTTGCTGAATCCCCCTCTCGATGGTAGTCTCTAAGGCCGACTGCCTCTTGCCGGGTTTTAAAGGGAGAGGAAGGATTTCCGATGAAGCTCAGAAACAGACTTTTGGGGAATTTGACGCTAAATTCCCGGTTACGCCGCCTCCTCCTTTTCTCCAGACTGTACCACACATCCGAAAAGACTGTTCCTGTCCTTTTCTCTGTGCTCTGCTCATCTGCATTTTTTATGTGCTGTAAAATGGACTAATCTTGTTTTTAAGTGATCGAAAATGTAACTTCGTTTCCCCAGTAATAGCTCAACCGGGATCGGTTTTGTATTTTATGTTCTTTGTATGATCGACCGGTTTTTTATTTCTTTGTCAGTTTGGCTTAATTGAGCCTATTTAACATACTGTGGAAAAAAATAAATATACTCTATACTAAGACCTCCTAAATCCTCACTGTCTCTTCTTATATTTACTTAAATTCATAGGTTCAACAATTAAAATGCACTCTTAATTATTCAAAACGAATGGCACTGCAAACATATTTAATAGTAAATGACAAATAATTTACCCTAAGCTAAATATCTTATAGCATGAAGAGTAAAATGCAAAAATAATGGGAATTAATAATAATAGGTGCCAACATCCTCCTCATCGTCAACTCAAATATACAATACACTTTTCTCTACTACAACCACTGCTAACAAAGCTCTCCTAAACAAGCAATTAATAAAGATACACATGGCAACTGAGAGTGGATATGTTCACTTAGAGCACATGTGTCAAACTCGAGGCCCGGGGGCCAAATCAGGCCCGTGGTGGATTTAATTTCGGTCCGCAGGATAATTTCTAATTCCTATTAGATCTGGCCCTCCAGTATATTGCACGCACACCTTCACTCCATCCTGAGGGTCTCCTCCGCTCAGAGCCTGAGCCCAAACATTGATGACCTTGCACCCAAGATGAGATGCCAAGTATCTGAACTAGCATCACAGAGCAGCACACTGAGTTCAATGGATGTTTCCTTCTGCCCTTTCTCTCACGACAACAGGGCATGTTTGGTTTTCTCTCTGAGGGGAATAGTTTTGTTGAAGCTGTTGTTGGCCTGTGGAGAAATGTACTCATAAGAAATGACTCTGGAGAAGCTGCAGATAGAGCCATAAGAAATGAATGCAACTGATTATTTAATGTTGTTTTTATAGGCAATCATTGAAGCTTTGTTAGTTCCAGGTTTAATATGTGCAATAAGTTCATTTCAATAAGTTCTGCAATAAACATTGAACCAGTCCGGCCCTCCACTAGCACACATTTTTTAATGTTGGCCCACTGTGTGTTTGAGTTGGACCCCCCTGACTTATCTTGGAGGGTACCCATTCTTTGTGCTTTAAAACCTCTCGTAGTAAAATGGTAAACATCATCTGGTGAGTTTTTCTTCAGCCTTTCAAAAAGTAGTCTTGTGTGTTGCATGCGGTGGTAAAATTAATCTTTTCAAAGGTTAAACTAGTCGACTCAAATTCAGTTATTTGAAGTAAAGTAGCGTGACCTGAAAAGCACCGTTCTTTACTGCCAACAACGCTCATGTAAATAAGCAAATAAAACCACCTTAACTCAAACTAAAGGCACAATGATAGTACATTGAAAAGCACATGTCAACTGAGTGGATCAAGGAAGTTAGTCAGAGGGGAACCATTCTTTGGTTTTAATTGCGTTTAAACCTCTGTATTGTTGTAACGTGGTACACATGAGTTTTTTCGTTAGTATTCGTTTTATGGGACGCATGAGGTGGTAAAATATCTTCTCAAAGGTTAAACTCACTCACCAGTGCTTTGTTGATGTGACATGAGCTAAAATGCACTTGTCTTTACTACGCCAACAAGCCTGACCTAAATGAGCAAATACAATAATAAATTATACGAATAATAAATTAGAATGAGGTCTCAACTCCTTTTTAAAAAACAAATGAGGGTGGTTTTGTGTTCTGGTTGATCACTAGCATTAATAATGTTTCTCCGTGTTACACTTACAGGCCCGGCATATGCACTCCAGCGGGTCGAGCGGTCTCGTGTGGACGGACACGTTTCTTGAGTGGACGGAAGACTTTTCTGCCAACGTCTACGGTTAGTTTTCGTCTCCGTGTGGTCTTAGTTTATCTAAATGTTTAAAGTCACACCCGTTGGTTGAACTCTGCATATATTATGTTTGTATTAGCATTCAGCTTTAAGTAACAAAGGAGCCACAGGACAGCAGCGGGGTGGAGATGGTAATGTGAGAAGTTCAGGACAATGGAGAGTCAAATATTTTAATGGCTTCCTAATTAAATGAATTCAAAATCCACACTATCTTCAAATAGCATTGCAATCACTTCTTTAGAAAATAAAACAACATACACTTTGACTGGACTTCAGGCATTGAACAGAAAATAATATTTATATCCTATAATGTGTGTGTGGAGGGATGGTTCAGTGTGTCACAGTAGAGAGTGGAGCTCCTTCCTGTGGGTGGGGATGGTTCAGTGTGTCACAGTAGAGAGTGGAGCTCCTTCCTGTGGGTGGGGATGGTTCAGTGTGTCACAGTAGAGAGTGGAGCTCCTTCCTGTGGGTGGGGATGGTTCAGTGTGTCTCAGTAGAGAGTGGAGCTCCTTCCTGTGGGTGGGGATGGTTCAGTGTGTCTCAGTAGAGAGTGGAGCTCCTTCCTGTGGGTGGGGATGGTGCAGTGTGTCACAGTAGAGAGTGGAGCTCCTTCCTGTGGGTGGGGATGGTGCAGTGTGTCACAGTAGAGAGTGGAGCTCCTTCCTGTGGGTGGGGATGGTTCAGTGTGTCTCAGTAGAGAGTGGAGCTCCTTCCTGTGGGTGGGGATGGTTCAGTGTGTCACAGTAGAGAGTGGAGCTCCTTCCTGTGGGTGGGGATGGTGCAGTGTGTCACAGTAGAGAGTGGAGCTCCTTCCTGTGGGTGGGGATGGTTCAGTGTGTCACAGTAGAGAGTGGAGCTCCTTCCTGTGGGTGGGGATGGACTTCAGCCACCTTAAAAAGGCTGTTGTAGAAGAAGCCAATATCAGTGCTTTATATCTCCAGACGTCATTCGAAAACAGCTCTTTCCCCGCGCAGAACAGTCGTTTCTGGAGGTTTTCCCGCTTTGACCCGACCATTTATTTATGTGATTGTGAGTGAATAAAAACGAACCCTTTTAAAAGTCACACAATAACACAAACAAACGAAACAAGCTAAACAGCAACTAGTAAAATGAGTAGTGTAGAGAGAGAACGGCTGTGTACGAGCACTGTTGTGTTTTATTGTAATTAGTGCACCTGGTGTATGTCAGGGTTTGTGGAAAGACAGACAGGGTGAGCTAGCTTCAGACATTTGACCATGGAGTCCTGCCTGATGTGAAGTGGTGAAAATATTCTAATCAAAGCTACATTGAAAACCTGTCTCTCAGCAGCAGCAGCCTCTGGATGTGAAACAATGGCCTTCAGGTGCTCAGCTAGCTTCAGACATTTTCTTTTGACCATGTGTTCCTGCCTTCGGTTATTGTTTGCTTGACTTTGTGCATTAAACATCCTAAACAACTTCATTGATTTGAAACGGAGCCACAGCAGGCGGTCTGACGGGCGTGTGTTATTATAGTGTTCTTAAAATAGTTCTCTATCTGTGTTTGATTTGTGTTTTACTTTACTAGTCAAACCCTCGTACGTGTCGACCTACCTGGTGATAAACCTGATTCTGATGTGAAGTGGTGAAAATATTCTAATCATAGCTTCATTTAAAAAGTGTCTCTCAGCAGCAGCCTCTTTTAAATGAACAACTGGATGTTCTTCTTGTTCATCAGGAGTTTTCTCAGAGTCATAGCTCATCAGTCCTTTCTTTACTGTCCCCTTCAGGTTCCCTCTCCTCCGCAGGTATTCTGAACGCCACGTAAGGACACGTCCTGGTGTTCAGACACACCAGCTTCTTCAGCGTGGCAGAGTTCACTATGTCGAAGCCCACGCGGCCCCCGAAGGTGCTGGGCTTCCAGTAGTGTGGAGAACATATGGGGTTTCCGAGGAGGCCTTTCAAGGAGAAGGGGGCCCCCATCTCCACCATGCTCTCTCCAAAGAGGGCCCCCGGTCGAGTTTGCTCCAGCATCAAGCCGGGGTAAAACTCCAGAGCGTCGATGTCCCCGTAGAGTTCCTCCAGCTCGATGGCTATCTCCTCGTTAGCTGCAAACACAATTATGGCAGAGTTAGATCTCTCTCTAATATAATAATAATAATATAGAACACCCCTTGTTGTGAAATACCAACTATGTGCAATGTGCGCATGCTTAGGTAACATTAAGCTGTCTTTGGCTCTTTTCTGATGTAACGAATGTACATTTCCCCTGAGGGACGAATGAAGGTATTCTGATTCTGAATATTTCATTTCAAACCTTTGTTTATCCAGGTGAATCCCATTGAGATCATTGATCTCTTTTTCAAGGAGACCTGCTCAAGTAGGTTCCACATGAATACATATCTTACAGCGACTACAGTTTAGTAACATTTACAGGTTCCAACAGTTTCCGATTGGTTAGCATCTATCTAACCAGATTGCTCACTTACAATTCTCCGTGAGATCAGGGAGCAGATGTAAGATGGAAGTTTCCCTAACATGGCTTTGTAGATGAAAATGTTCCAGTGACGGAGCCTCCGTGCAGTTAGTGAAGGCAAACCAGCCCTTGCATACAGGGTGCAGTGATGAGTTAATGCTTTACAGTGTGTCACACATCTCAGAGCGCTGTGATACGCAGCATCTACCTTGAGTTACATCGAGGAGGGAAATGCATGACGTTTCAGCACTGCTTTAAAAACTGCTCGTGTCTTTTACAGTTGATTTGAAATATATTTGAATTGTTTGGGAAGCTTTAAAGCGCCTTGCTGTCCCTGAATGAGAGATGTTATGTCTTCCTGCGGATCACTACGGTCGTCCACTGCTTGTATGTTATGTATGAAAGCACCTTTTGTTCTTACGTCCTTGAACTAGATCTCGTGACCTTACGATATATAAATGAAAACTCTCTCTGGACTTTTGGGCTACTAGTTTGAAACACGGTCATTTTGTCGGTAACGGAGGATGTTCTTTTAAGGGATAGAAGCCAATTATGTTAAGAATGTGTGCTCCTCTAACGATAAATATCTATTTCAAATCCTGAGTGCTCCATGCAAGAAGGCCATCACCGGAATGCGGTTAAAACCGTTTAAAAAACCTTCTTTGGATGATATTTTAAGATGGAAAGGATAACTCTTGCTACAGGGAATCTTTTTGTCGAGATGGGAAAATTGATAATATGTGTTACACCAATACGACTATCATTCGTCTAGAAGGGATTTATTTTGTATTTTTAAGGGTTTATAATCTTCCTATCTAACTTTTAGCAAGAAAAATAAAAGAGGTTTTTCCTAAATGGTCAAACTATTCACACTCAAACCCTCAAAACCCAGCTCTTCAGAACCTCCCTGTTAGACCCCTTAGTCACTTTACGCTGCTATGGACATTTTTAAGGCATTAATAAGTGTTTTATTCTGACTGACAAAGAGCCAACATACTGCCAACTAGTTGATGGTGAATTTGTGCACCTTAATATAAAGTGAGAGCGGCCACACACACACACACACACACACACACACACACACACACACACACACACACACACACACACACACACACACACACACACACACACACACACACACACACACACACACACACACACACACACACACACACACACACACACACACACACACACACACACACACACACACACACACACACACACAGTATATATTCGTGTTTTGTTCTGTTATAACGCCTTGTGCAGAATGCTTTGTTAATACTATGTTTAAAATGTAACTTGATTATTTATTTATTATTGTGATGCTTTGAACTATTTATAGTGTACATTGGAATGATCCACATCCGTGCTCCCGGGTGTCTCTGTGTGTTTTCTTCTTGTACGTTCCTGCCTGTGTTCATGACATAAGCTGCTGCTCATAACCAATTGCCCCTTGCGGGATTAATAAAGTTGTTGATTGATTGAAAATGTGGTCATGCCAATAAAGCCCCTTTGTGTTGTCTTGTCTCCTCTCACCTGAGAACTGTCTGAAGGAAGTGTACGGCCTCAGGTTGAATCGCTTCCTGTACTCGTTGAAGGGCTGCATGCGAAGCTGCCGCGACTCTTTTATCGTCCCCACGGCCACTTTAGTCACCACAGGGTGGATGTTGTGGCCCCCGCCGATCTGTGGGACAGAGTTTCAATGCTTTTATTGTCATGTGTACAAAGCTACAGTGTAGATATGACAATGAAAATCTGAGGTCAGTCTCCTCCAACAGAGCAACACAGATAAAATAGTTTGATTCAAGATTCAAGGCTTTTATTGTCATTAACTGTCAAGGGGGAAATAAGTCTTTTTTGTGTTTCTCTTATTTTCCTATGATAATGTTATGAAAAAATATGAAGGACAGACCATCAAGAGCAGTGCTTCTCAAAGTGTGGTCCGTGGAGCACTGGTAGTCCGTGAGCGCCCCCTAGTGGTCCGTGAGTATAACATTTCACATTTGAAATAAATACATTTCAATTTTCCGCACTCTCGCGGGAATATCTCCGCAATGGAGCGAGCTTAGGTTTCGATTGTAATTGGAATATGATATATTAGAGAGGGTTAGAGAGTTTTAAGAGAGTTCATTTAGACTAATTTAAAGGGCACATCATTCAAATATGATCAATATAAAACAGGAATCAAAATGTGAGATATAACCTCCTTCCACACATGCACTTCAATCTACAATTAATAATGTCAGTGTGCTGCAAGAAGTATGCTTTTTCCCAGATTATTGGATATAACATGCACAGGATTGTGACTTTCTCAGACATATACTGTAGTATATTACACATATTTATCTGGAGGCTGTTAGATGATGGTATCCTTTAAAAAAAATGATTTTGAGTATAAGTTATTGATATGCATATACTATATTCTCAGATATATACTGTAGTACATACATCTATCTTCTAATCTTCATGTATAGTATAATGTTTGCCCTTCCTGGTTTTAAAGGTCATTTAATAATGTGATTCTGCTACCCTATGTGTAAAGCACTTTGAATTACCTTGTGTTGAAACGTGCTATATAAATAAACTGATGAGTAATCTACAAACAAAACATCATATTGCATAAGCTTGATTTCTGCACACATGTTGGGTGTGCAGAAATCTTAGTTTAAGAGCTCTCAATTCTACTTAAATACAGAAAAAAAGTACTCATTTTCATGCATATACTGCAGATTATGTCCCACAATTGAGCTACTAACAGTGCAATGTAAGGGTTTGATGGGTGTTTGTGCGCTTTATTACCTGTCCGGCCACCTGTTTGGAGAAGGCGTCCACCAGCTTCTCGATGCCGTAGTGTGTGAGCACGGAGGTGTTGAAGAGGAACTGGGGATATGTCACCTGGTCTCCGCTGATCAGGAAGCTGTCGGGCATGAGGGGGTGCCAGTGGTACAGCTGCGTGAACTCCAGAGAGATGCGGTTCCCGTACTGGAAGTTAGACTTGAAGAGCAGCGTGGGGTCGAACTTCAGCTTCAGGAGATATCCACTGAGGTGCTGCACGTACTCCTCGATCACGATGCGGATCGTCTCACCTGAGGAGAGCACACACACAGGGATGAGAATTAAACCAAATACATACGTCCTCTGTTATACTTAATATCTACACAACAGGCTCAAACTCAGTTAGAGGACCTCATGACCAGAGGTGGGAAGTAGTGGAGTACAAATACTTTGTTACTGTACTTAAGTACATGTTTCTGGTATCAGTACTTTACTCCACTACTTATTTTTCTGACGACTTTTTACTTTGACTTCTTACATTTTGAACCCAAATACCTGTACTTTCTACTTCTTACATGTTGAACACAAATACCTGTACTTTCTACTTCTTACATGTTGAACACAAATACCTGTACTTTCTACTTCTCACATGTTGAACACAAATACCTGTACTTTATACTTCTTACATGTTGAACACAAATACCTGTACTTTCTACTTCTTACATGTTGAATACAAATACCTGTACTTTCTACTTCTTACATGTTGAACTCAAATACCTGTACTTTCTACTTCTTACATGTTGAACTCAAATACCTGTACTTTATACTTCTTACATGTTGAACACAAATACCTGTACTTTCTACTTCTTACATGTTGAACACAAATACCTGTAATTTCTACTTCTTACATGTTGAACACAAATACCTGTACTTTCTACTTCTCTCATGTTGAACTCAAATACCTGTACTTTCTACTTCTCACATGTTGAACACAAATACCTGTACTTTATACTTCTTACATGTTGAACACAAATACCTGTACTTTCTACTTCTTACATGTTGAATACAAATACCTGTACTTTCTACTTCTTACATGTTGAACTCAAATACCTGAACTTTCTACTTCTTACATGTTGAACTCAAATACCTGTACTTTCTACTTCTTACATGTTGAACCCAAATACCTGTACTTTCTACTTCTTACATGTTGAACACAAATACCTGTAATTTCTACTTCTTACATGTTGAACTCAAATACTTGTACTTTCTACTTCTCTCATTCTCCAAACAGCTGGTTCCTTTAGTCTGAATGTGTGTTTGATGCGTGATCATTATTCTTTAGAGTCATTGCGTGCCTATTGATTTGAACACGATCCGTGTATCCATCATTTCCTGGTCTTCTCTAAAGAAGAGGGACCAATGGAAACGTTGTCATGTTGCCGTTGTTCAGCATGGAAACATTCATTAGCTAACAATGACATTATTGTTCTATTCATATTAATAATATTAAAGAGACCCTGCTATGCTTTTTGGGGGGGTTTCCCTTCTCTATAGTGTGTTAATGTTGGCGTGTTTTCACACTAAAAATGATCTTGACGTCCTCTACTGTGAAATTAAAACATTATATAAGAAAAGTCTAAATTGCTAGATGGTTTTTTATGTAGGAAATCACAAATTAAATTACATTTGAAGACATTTTTGTCCCTTGGTTCCCAGGAGGAGCTATAGGTATTTTATCATGTAAATGTTCTGCAGAGACTTCTCTAAGTCCCCCCCCCCCCCCCCTGAAACCCCTTGATTAAATCCCTTAGTTGACTATCATGGAAATGAATCATTTAAATATCCTTCAGTTCCTTGTTGTCTCTTGGCTTCCTTCTGTTACCGAGCCCTCGACAGACAGAAAGGTGCCGCTGGGAGCTTTGTGAGGCGATTATCGTCCGGGTGTTATCTGATACAATTAACATGTCTTCTGTCCCTCCTTTGTTCACCATTTGGTAGGCTTTAATGTAAATGATTAGTTGCCCTAACCCCCACCTTTGTTTCCTGTTTCTCTGCATAAGTTAAAGGTCACCTATCATGGTATCTTTAGGCAATAGCGTAGGTCTCATATACAAATATATATAAAACATGTCTATGAAGTGTTTTGCTCAAAATACCAAACAGCTCACCCGTTCGAGCCACGCCTCATACCCCTCTATTCCACTTCCTGTTTCTAAAGTGCTGATTATACGCTTACAGTACTTTTTCTGACAAATAAAGGGGGTACAAGTACTCAGATCTTGTAGTAAAAGTAGAAGTACTCAGATCTTGTAGTAAAAGTAGAAGTACTCAGATCTTGTACTTGAGTAAAAGTAAAAGTACTCAGATCTTGTACTTGAGTAAAAGTAAAAGTACTCAGATATTGTTCTTGAGTAAAAGTAGAAGTACTCAGGTCTTGTACTTGAGTAAAAGTAGAAGTACTCAGATCTTGTACTTGAGTAAAAGTAAAAGTACTCAGATATTGTTCTTGAGTAAAAGTAGAAGTACTCAGGTCTTGTACTTGAGTAAAAGTAGAAGTACTCAGATCTTGTACTTGAGTAAAAGTAAAAGTACTCAGATATTGTTCTTGAGTAAAAGTAGAAGTACTCAGATCTTGTACTTGAGTAACAGTAGAAGTACTCAGATCTTGTACTTCAGTAAAAGTAGAAGTACTCAGATCTTGTACTTGAGTAAAAGTAGAAGTACTCAGATCTTGTACTTGAGTTAAAGTAGAAGTTCTCAGGTCTTGTACTTGAGTAAAAGTAGAGTACTCAGATCTTGTACTTGAGTAAAAGTAGAAGTACTCAGATCTTGTACTTGAGTTAAAGTAGAAGTTCTCAGGTCTTGTACTTGAGTAAAAGTAGAAGTACTCAGATCTTGAGTAAAAGTAGAAGTACTCAGATCTTGTACTTCAGTAAAAGTAGAAGTACTCAGGTCTTGTACTTGAGTAAAAGTAGAAGTACTCAGGTCTTGTACTTAGTAAAAGTAGAAGTACCAGAGTGTAGGAATACTCTGTTACAGTAAAAGTCCTGCATTCAAAATGTTCCTCAAGTAAAAGTAGAAAAGTATTCTCATCTAAATATAGTGAAAGACAGTAAAAGTAGTCGTTGTGCAGATTGGTCCATTTCAGAATAATAGATATGATATGTTTTATAATGATTGATCATGAAAGTGTTCTCAAAGCTGGTGAAGGTGGTGTATTTTTTGTATTCTGGATTGTGGGAAACAGTATCTCGATCTCTCTGTCTGTACACACAAACTGAAAGATTGACAATAAAGTTGACTTTGAAGTGGCCAAAATCTGATCAGCTCATTTTCAGACAGGTTTTTATAGAAATGGATCAGGAGAAAAAGAGAGAGAATCTTTGTTCATGAAACGTTCAGAGTCTCTTTCCACAGAGGGGACACATGTTGATGTAGAAGAGACATGAAGAAGAGGGGACACATGTTGATGTAGAAGAGACATGAAGAAGAGGGGACACATGTTGATGTAGAAGAGACATGAAGAAGAGGGGGACACATGTTGATGTAGAAGAGACATGAAGAAGAGGGGACACATGTTGATGTAGAAGAGACATGAAGAAGAGGGGACACATGTTGATGTAGAAGAGACATGGAGAAGAGGGGACACATGTTGATGTAGAAGAGACATGAAGAAGAGGGGACACATGTTGATGTAGAAGAGACATGAAGAAGAGGGGACACATGTTGATGTAGAAGAGACATGAAGAAGAGGGGACAGATGTTGATGTAGAAGAGACGTGAAGAAGAGGGGACACATGTTGATGTAGAAGAGACATGAAGAAGAGGGGACACATGAAGATGTAGAAGAGACATGAAGAAGAGGGGACACATGTTGATGTAGAAGAGACATGAAGAAGAGGGGACACATGTTGATGTAGAGAGACATGGAGAAGAGGGGACACAGGTTTGATGTAGAAGAGACATGAAGAAGAGGGGACACATGTTGATGTAGAAAGAGACATGAAGAAGAGGGGACACATGTTGATGTAGAAGAGACATGAAGAAGAGGGGAAAGATGTTGATGTAGAAGAGACATGAAGAAGAGGGGACACATGTTGATGTAGAAGAGACGTGAAGAAGAGGGGACACATGTTGATGTAGAAGAGACGTGAAGAAGAGGGGACACATGTTGATGTAGAAGAGACATGAAGAAGAGGGGACACATTAAGATGTAGAAGAGACATGAAGAAGAGGGGACACATGTTGATGTAGAAGAGACATGAAGAGAGGGGACACATGTTGATGTAGAAGAGACATGAAGAAGAGGGGACACATGTTGATGTAGAAGAGACATGGAGAAGAGGGGACACATGTTGATGTAGAAGAGACATGAAGAAGAGGGGACACATGTTGATGTAGAAGAGACATGAAGAAGAGGGGACACATGTTGATGTAGAAGAGACATGAAGAAGAGGGGGCAGATGTTGATGTAGAAGAGACGTGAAGAAGAGGGGACACATGTTGATGTAGAAAGGAGAGACATGAAGAAGAGGGGACACATGAAGATGTAGAAGAAGACATGAAGAAGAGGGGACACATGTTGATGTAGAAGAGACATGAAGAAGAGGGGACACATGTTGATGTAGAAGAGACATGGAGAAGAAGAGGGACACATGTTGATGTAGAAGAGACATGAAGAAGAGGGGACACATGTTTGATGTAGAAGAGACATGAAGAAGAGGGGACACATGTTGATGTAGAAGAGACATGAAGAAGAGGGGACAGATGTTGATGTAGAAGAGACATGAAGAAGAGGGGACACATGTTGATGTAGAAGAGACGTGAAGAAGAGGGGACACATGTTGATGTAGAAGAGACGTGAAGAAGAGGGGACACATGTTGATGTAGAAGAGACATGAAGAAGAGGGGGACACATGAAAGATGTAGAAGAGACATGAAGAAGAGTGGGACACATGTGGATGTAGAAGAGACATGAAGAAGAGGGGACACATGTTTGAGAGAAGAGACATGAAGAAGAGGGGGGACACATGTTGATGTAGAAGAGACATGAAGAAGAGGGACACATGTTGATGTAGAAGAGACATGAAGAAGAGGGAGGACAGATGTTGATGTAGAAGAGACATGAAGAAGAGGGGACACATGTTTGATGTGAAGAGACGTGAAGAAGAGGGGGACACATGTTGATGTAGAAGAGACATGAAGAAGAGGGGACACATGTTGATGTAGAAGAGACGTGAAGAAGAAGGGGACACATGTTGATGTAGAAAGACATGAAGAAGAGGGGACACATGAAGATGTAGAAGAGACGTGAAGAAGAGGGGACACATGCTGATGTAGAAGAGACATGAAGAAGGAGGGGCACATGTTGATTGTAGAAGAGACATGAAGAAGAGGGGACACATGTTGATGTAGAAGAGACATGAAGAAGAGGGGACACATGTTGATGTAGAAGAGACATGAAGAAGAGGGGACACATGTTGATGTAGAAGAGACATGAAGAAGAGGGGACACATGTTGATGTAGAAGAGACATGAAGAAGAGGGACACATGTTGATGTAGAAGAGACATGAAGAAGAGGGGACACATGTTGATGTAGAAGAGACATGGAGAAGAGGGGACACATGTTGATGTAGAAGAGACATGAAGAAGAGGGGACACATGTTGATGTAGAAGAGACATGAAGAAGAGGGGACACATGTTGATGTAGAAGAGACATGAAGAAGAGGGGACAGATGTTGATGTAGAAGAGACGTGAAGAAGAGGGGACACATGTTGATGTAGAAGAGACATGAAGAAGAGGGGACACATGAAGATGTAGAAGAGACATGAAGAAGAGGGGACACATGTTGATGTAGAAGAGACATGAAGAAGAGGGGACACATGTTGATGTAGAAGAGACATGGAGAAGAGGGGACACATGTTGATGTAGAAGAGACATGAAGAAGAGGGGACACATGTTGATGTAGAAGAGACATGAAGAAGAGGGGACACATGTTGATGTAGAAGAGACATGAAGAAGAGGGGACAGATGTTGATGTAGAAGAGACATGAAGAAGAGGGGACACATGTTGATGTAGAAGAGACGTGAAGAAGAGGGGACACATGTTGATGTAGAAGAGACGTGAAGAAGAGGGGACACATGTTGATGTAGAAGAGACATGAAGAAGAGGGGACACATGAAGATGTAGAAGAGACATGAAGAAGAGGGGACACATGTTGATGTAGAAGAGACATGAAGAAGAGGGGACACATGTTGATGTAGAAGAGACATGAAGAAGAGGGGACACATGTTGATGTAGAAGAGACATGAAGAAGAGGGGACAACATGTTGATGTAGAAGAGACATGAAGAAGAGGGGACAGAATGTTGATGTAGAAGAGACATGAAGAAGAGGGGACACATGTTGATGTAGAGAGACGTGAAGAAGAGGGGACACATGTTGATGTAGAAGAGACATGAAGAAGAGGGGACACATGTTGATGTAGAAGAGACATGAAGAAGAGGGGACACATGTTGATGTAAAAGAGACATGAAGAAGAGGGGACAACATGTTGATGTAGAAGAGACATGAAGAAGAGGGGACCACATGTTGATGTAGGAGAGACATGAAGAAGAGGGGACACATGTTGATGTAGAAGAGACATGAAGAAGAGGGGACACATGTTGATGTAGAAGAGACATGAAGAAGAGGGGACACATGTTGATGTAGAAGAGACATGAAGAAGAGGGGACACATGTTGATGAAGAAGAGACATGAAGAAGAGGGGACACATGTTGATGAAGAAGAGACATGGAGAAGAGGGGGACACATGTTGATGTAGAAGAGACATGAAGAAGAGGGGACACATGTTGATGTAGAAGAGACATGAAGAAGAGGGGACACATGTTGATGAAGAAGAGACATGAAGAAGAGGGGACACATGTTGATGAAGAAGAGACATGAAGAAGAGGGGACACATGTTGATGTAGAAGAGGGGACACATGTTGATGAAGAAGAGACATGAAGAAGAGGGGACACGTGTTGATGAAGAAGAGACATGAAGAAGAGGGGACACATGTTGATGTAGAAGAGGGGACACATGTTGATGTAGAAGAGACATGAAGAAGAGGGGACACATGTCTATGTAGAAGAGGGGACACATGCTGATGTAGAAGAGACATGAAGAAGAGGGGACACATGTTGATGAAGAAGAGACATGAAGAAGAGTGGACACATGTTGATGTAGAAGAGGGGACACATGTTGATGTAGAAGAGACATGGAGAAGAGGGGACACATGTTGATGAAGAAGAGACATGAAGAAGAGTGGACACATGTTGATGTAGAAGAGGGGACACATGTTGATGTAGAAGAGTGGACACATGTTGATGTAGAAGAGGGGACACATGTTGATGAAGAAGAGGGGACACATGCTGATGTAGAAGAGACATGAAGAAGAGGATTTTGCATAATAGGTGATCTTTAAAGGTGTCCCCTCTCACCGATGATGATGAGGCGGGCGGTCTGGAACAGCTGCTCGTCCCCCCAGGTGGGGTGCTCTCTCTTCAGGATGTCACACACTCGGTTGTGCTCTCTCAGCCAAAGCGTCGCAAACATCCCCAAACCAGGAAGCAGCCCGAACACTTCCTGTCCGATCGCCATCTGATTCTCAGGGGGCGTCCCGGGGGGGTAGCTCATCTTAACGGGGGCATCAGCCACAGTGGGGGGGAACATCTCCCCGTCAACTAACTGATGGGGAAACAAAACTCAATGATTACACACAGAGGTGGGAAGTAGTGGAGTACAAATCCTTTGTTACTGTACTTAAGTACATTTTTCTGGTGCCAGTACTTTACTCCACTACTTATTTTACTGACGACTTTTTACTTTGACTTCTTACATGTTGAACACAAATACCTGAACTTTCTACTTCTTACATGTTGAACTCAAATACCTGAACTTTCTACTTCTTACATGTTGAACACAAATACCTGAACTTTCTACTTCTTACATGTTGAACTCAAATACCTGTACTTTCTACTTCTCACATGTTGAACACAAATACCTGAACTTTCTACTTCTTACATGTTGAACACAAATACCTGAACTTTCTACTTCTTACATGTTGAACACAAATACCTGAACTTTCTACTTCTTACATGTTGAACTCAAATACCTGTACTTTCTACTTCTCACATGTTGAACTCAAATACCTGTACTTTCTACTTCTTACATGTTGAACACAAATACCTGAACTTTCTACTTCTTACATGTTGAACTCAAATACCTGTACTTTCTACTTCTCACATGTTGAACACAAATACCTGAACTTTCTACTTCTTACATGTTGAACTCAAATACCTGTACTTTCTACTTCTTACATGTTGAACACAAATACCTGTACTTTCTACTTCTTACATGTTGAACTCAAATACCTGTACTTTCTACTTCTTACATGTTGAACTCAAATACCTGTACTTTCTACTTCTTACATGTTGAACTCAAATACCTGTACTTTCTACTTCTTACATGTTGAACACAAATACCTGTACTTTCTACTTCTTACATGTTGAACCCTAATACCTGTACTTTCTACTTCTTACATGTTGAACCCTAATACCTGTACTTTCTACTTCTTACATGTTGAACTCAAATACCTGTACTTTCTACTTCTCACATGTTGAACTCAAATACCTGTACTTTCTACTTCTCACATGTTGAACACAATACCTGTACTTTCTACTTCTTACATGTTGAACACAAATACCTGTACTTTCTACTTCTCACATGTTGAACACAAATACCTGTACTTTCTACTTCTCACATGTTGAACACAAATACCTCTACTTTCTACTTCTCACATGTTGAACTCAAATACCTGTACTTTCTACTTCTTACATGTTGAACTCAAATACCTGTACTTTCTACTTCTTACATGTTGAACTCAAATACCTGTACTTTCTACTTCTTACATGTTGAACACAAATACCTGTACTTTCTACTTCTTACATGTTGAACTCAAATACCTGTACTTTACTTCTACATGTATGACCAACTGTACTTCTACTCTACATGTTGAACTCAAATACCTGTACTTTCTACTTCTTACATGTTGAACTCAATACCCTGTACTTTCTACTTCTTACATGTTGAACTCAAATACCTGTACTTTCTACTTCTTACATGTTGAACACAAATACCTGTACTTTCTACTTCTTACATGTTGAACACAAATACCTGTACTTTCTACTTCTTACATGTTGAACACAAATACCTGTACTTTCTACTTCTTACATGTTGAACACAAATACCTGTACTTTCTACTTCTCAGATGTTGAACACAAATACCTCTACTTTCTACTTCTCACATGTTGAACTCAAATACCTGTACTTTCTACTTCTTACATGTTGAACACAAATACCTGTACTTTCTACTTCTTACATGTTGAACACAAATACTTGTACTTTCTACTTCTTACATGTTGAACTCAAATACCTGTACTTTCTACTTCTTACATGTTGAACTCAAATACCTGTACTTTCTACTTCTTACATGTTGAACTCAAATACCTGTACTTTCTACTTCTTACATGTTGAACCCTAATACCTGTACTTTCTACTTCTCACATGTTGAACTCAAATACCTGTACTTTCTACTTCTTACATGTTGAACACAAATACCTGTACTTTCTACTTCTTACATGTTGAACACAAATACCTGTACTTTCTACTTCTTACATGTTGAACACAAATACCTGTACTTTCTACTTCTCACATGTTGAACTCAAATACCTGTACTTTCTACTTCTTACATGTTGAACACAAATACCTGTACTTTCTACTTCTTACATGTTGAACACAAATACCTGTACTTTCTACTTCTCACATGTTGAACACAAATACCTGTACTTTCTACTTCTTACATGTTGAACACAAATACTTGTACTTTCTACTTCTTACATGTTGAACTCAAATACCTGTACTTTCTACTTCTTACATGTTGAACTCAAATACCTGTACTTTCTACTTCTCACATGTTGAACTCAAATACCTGTACTTTCTACTTCTTACATGTTGAACACAAATACCTGTACTTTCTACTTCTCACATGTTGAACACAAATACCTCTACTTTCTACTTCTCACATGTTGAACCCAAATACCTGTACTTTCTACTTCTTACATGTTGAACACAAATACCTGTACTTTCTACTTCTTACATGTTGAACACAAATACCTGTACTTTCTACTTCTTACATGTTGAACACAAATACCTGTACTTTCTACTTCTCACATGTTGAACACAAATACCTCTACTTTCTACTTCTCACATGTTGAACCCAAATACCTGTACTTTCTACTTCTTACATGTTGAACACAAATACCTGTACTTTCTACTTCTTACATGTTGAACACAATACTTGTACTTTCTACTTCTTACATGTTGAACTCAAATACCTCTACTTTCTACTTCTCACATGTTGAACTCAAATACCTTACTTTCTTCTCTACTTCTTACATGTTGAACACAAATACCTGTAACTTTCTACTTCTACATGTTGAACTCAAATACCTGTACTTTCTACTTCTTACATGTTGAACACAAATACCTGTACTTTCTACTTCTTACATGTTGAACACAAATACCTGTACTTTCTACTTCTTACATGTTGAACTCAAATACCTGTACTTTCTACTTCTCACATGTTGAACTCAAATACCTGTACTTTCTACTTCTTACATGTTGAACACAAATACCTGTACTTTCTACTTCTTACATGTTGAACTCAAATACCTGTACTTTCTACTTCTTACATGTTGAACCAAATACCTGTACTTTCTACTTCTTACATGTTGAACTCAAATACCTGTACTTTCTACTTCTTACATGTTGAACTCAAATACCTGTACTTTCTACTTCTTACATGTTGAACTCAAATACCTGTACTTTCTACTTCTTACATGTTGAACTCAAATACCTGTACTTTCTACTTCTTACATGTTGAACTCAAATACCTGTACTTTCTACTTCTTACATGTTGAACTCAAATACCTGTACTTTCTACTTCTCACATGTTGAACACAAATACCTGTACTTTCTACTTCTTACATGTTGAACTCAAATACCTGTACTTTCTACTTCTTACATGTTGAACTCAAATACCTGTACTTTCTACTTCTCACATGTTGAACTCAAATACCTGTACTTTCTACTTCTCACATTTCCCAAACAGCTGGTTCCTTTAGTCTGAATGTGTGTTTGATGCGTGATCATTATTCTTTAGAGTCATTGCGTGCCTATTGATTTGAACACGATCCGTGTATCCATCATTTCCTGGTCTTCTCTAAAGAAGAGGGACCAATGGAAACGTTGTCATGTTGCCGTTGTTCAGCATGGAAACATTCATTAGCTAACAATGACATTATTGTTCTATTAATATAAAGGGAGGTCAGGTACTCTTTAAAGCAGCTGCTAGTTATGGGTACTTTTTACTGAAGTACATTTCAAAGCCTCTTTACTTTCACTTGAGTAAAGAAGTTTAGTCAGTACTTCTACTTTCACCAGAGTATTTTTAAACACGAGTATCTGTACTTCTACTTGAGTAAAGGATGTATGTACTTTTGCCCTCTCTGATTATTCAATACAACATCTGTCTTTCCCATCTCTCTGCAGCAACATGCAGCATTTCATCTGAATAAAAAGGTACGGCATATTAGAAGTTAATATACAGTACAGTCAACAGTCTGGACACACCTTCTCATTCAATGGTTTTTGTTTATTCAATTTTGTTTCTACTTTGTAGATCAGTGCTTCTCAAAGTGTGGTCCACTGACCCCTGGTGGTCCGTGAGTGCCCCCTAGTGGTCCGTGAGTATATTGGTAAAAGTTCACATTAGAAATAAATACATTAAAGTTTTCCGCACTCTTGTGGGAATATCTCTGCAATGGAGCGAGCTTATGTTTTACTTTCGATTGCATGATATAGCCCAGCGCAACACCTTCGTCACACATGTTGCCACTTGTTTGTACAATTTTCAGGCGATTTGTAATCTGTTCTTGAAAAACGATGGGATTTTGGATATTTGTGGAGTTAGGTGGTCCGCAAGTGTTTTTTTATTGGTTAAATGGTCCTTGGTATGAAAACGTTTGAGAAACACTGATCTAGATGAATACTGAAGACATCAAAACTATAAAAGAACACATATGGAATTATCTAGTAAACAAAAAAGTGTTAAACAATACAGAATATTATTTTTATTTTAGATTCTTCAAAGTAGCCCCCGTTTGCCTTGATGACAGCTTTGCAGATCTATCCACCTTGGGACCCGTTATTGTTTGCGGGGTCCGTTTCTATCGTTTTGTTACGGCCTCGTGTAAACGGGGTCTCAGTCAGCTTCATGAGGTCAATGTACTTAGTTACTACACACCTAAATGTACTTAGTTACTTCACACCTAAATGTACTTAGTTACTACATACCTAAATGTACTTAGTTACTTCAAACCTAAATGTACTTAGTTACTTCACACCTAAATGTACTTAGTTACTTCACACCTAAATGTACTTAGTTACTTCACACCTAAATGTACTTAGTTACTACATACCTAAATGTACTTAGTTACTTCACACCTAAATGTACTTAGTTACTACACACCTAAATGTACTTAGTTACTTCATACCTAAATGTACTTAGTTACTTCACACCTAAATGTACTTAGTTACTACACACCTAAATGTACTTAGTTACTACA